CTTGAAGCAGCCCAGAGAGATAGGAATTCAGGATTTCTCTTTGGTAGGAGACTGCCCTTTTCACTGGAATACACTCCTGTCCTCTCCTGCCTGTACTTTCTGGTCTCTTTTGAATCCTTTATTCCATGCTTGGCGGCCCAAGCCACCCAAGCCTTCTATGGCAGGAGTGGGGAATGGCAGAAGACAGTCGAAAGTAATTTTCCCACTTCCTGGCAGCGTGTCTAACCATTACGTATAAAGCATGAAGAACTAGATCATGTCCTTTGCTGGCAGTTTAGTTTCGTTCAGAAATAATCAAAATGCTGTGCATTGTGCTGTCCTTGGGATAAAGATGCTTAGTGGATGAAGGTCCTCGAGGATTTAGGTGCAAGCATGCCTAACTAACAAATCTGAAACAGGTGGAAGAAATAAAAAGGTACTGAGTTTCAGCACAGTTCAGACGGTGGTTCTCATCGGCTTGCACAGGAGCAGAACTTAGGAAGCTGAGGAGTAAGCACCTAATGTGTGTCTTGTGAACCTTTAAATGTTAGACATCTAAATTCTACGGAAGTAAAATTTAATTGTGTAAAACTTTTTGAGTATGGGTGTCAGTGTATCTCCTCTCTTTATACACAGTGAAATAATGTAGTAAGATTCTAGTCTCATGAAATATGAGCCATTTGCTTCAGAGAGGTAAGGCTTTACTTAATCGGACTACTTACAGAATAAGGTACAGCACTCCACAGGTAAGATGATGCAATTTCACTTTGTGGTTAAACGTTTGCCTTGGTTCTGCTTTGGGAATTGCTCACGCAGCGTGTGGCTAAGCTATGGAACTCCCCGCCTCAGGACACCCTGCATGCAGTTTACACAGGTTTAAAAGGCAAGTGGATCAACTAATTGAGGAAGAATCCATGAAAAGCTATCAGATACAAAGGCAGCACTTCTGGTGCAGGAAAATCGCAGTCTCTGTGTCTGTCTCCTCCCTCCCCCTCAATCACTACATTCTTGCCCTGTTTTATTACTTTTTCTGAGTCACCTGCTGCTGGCTGTATCAGAAAGAAAGATACCATTCTAGATGGATCCTTAGACTCATCCTCTGCCACAGTTTGTACATTCCTGTGCAAGGCAAATTTCAGACTGGAAAGTCACTTGTAGCAGCAGCAACAGCGCAAACGTAAGTTTTGAGTGTGAGTACACTTACAGCAATTTCCCTTTGACTTAACTCTATTGACTTCAAGAAAGTTATTCTTGATATGCCCTAGTGTGAGATCACACTAAGACATGCTTACTTCCTTCAGGAGCAACACAGTATACCAGAAAAGTCTAAGGAGATAGAGAAAATGACTAATTCCACAGGAAAAAAATAAAATGTTTAGAAAGATTTAATTAGGACTGTGGCAGCCACTGAACTTTTTTTAGTGTTAAATTCAAGGAACCTGAACCTGACTTATGTAAGCACTCTAATAGTTCAGGGGGAATTAATTCATTCTGCATTACTCTTTCTCAGGCTGGTTGGTTCCTAGACTGTAAAATAAGCAATTTTTTTTACTGAGTAATTTCAAAAGAAATCAATACAATATATGCCTATGTCAGTGCTCACAAAACCTCACTCAGCTATAGTTTACTGAATCTGCTGAGTACAAATTGCTGCAAATAAAACTTCCAAGATGCACAGACATGATAAGTGTGAGTATTTCCATAACATTTATCACATAATTTTCGAAGATCTGTTGATCCTTAAGCATTTGATATGGCTTTAAACTGCGGGAATTTGACCTACTATAATTTTGTAATCCTATTGAAGGGACACTGCATCTTAAAAATTGTTTTTTAAACACTGTTTGCTCAATTGTTCTTCCCCTATGAATAAACTTTTCCCCTTTTGCTTTCCTCTTTTGTTTTCTGAACAAAAGTTTAACAGTTGAATGTACTTTTTTCTGCTTATATCGTATACTGATTATTCTTTGCCCTCGACCTGTTCTAAACGACAATAATCAAGAAATTTTCTGGTTTTAAAGACACTATCGATCTTTAAACCTTATGCACTAGAACAAATTTGTCTTCTAAACATTGAAGATACAGATTTGTAGTCACTTATTAAAGAGTTTTAACATAGCTATCTTGCACAAATCTGCCTATGGATTAAGTTCTACCCAAAGTAGTTTTAGAGAAGCTGCAATTTACAATGCCTTTAAAAATTCACCAAATAAGTGGACTGTAAGTCATACTACACTAGTGCAAGCCAACAGTCAGTGTCCTATTGTGCTAAATGCTTTCAAAACACACAGAAATTAAAGTTCTCTGAGCCAAACAATTTATGTTTGAAAGGGATGATACCCATCAGTAAGTGCTCCAAGAACAGATTGCTGGGTATCTAAAAACTGTTGCCAACCAATACATTAACTGACTTGGTGCTGCGCCTGAAGACTGGAAACGCTGTGTTCAGTGCTACGTGGGTTCATGCGATTGGCCGTTATGTTCAGAAAAGATAACATTTCTTGCCTTGGATCAGGCTTTTCTGTCCCTTATGCAGGGAACATCTAAACACTGTTGTGTTTAGATGGGGGGATGTTCTGATACGGCTAAGAGGTGTGATAATTAGAGGAAGCAGTCATCTTGTTTTCACTCTCGTCGCACAACTTTCTATGGGCCGGAGTGGAACCTAAAACTGTGTTCCTACATCCGTCTTCCTGAAAAGGGAAAGAACGTTTGATATTTGCTTAGATCTCGAAAGTAACTGAAAGTAACTTAAATGTTTGACGTTCAGGAATGGGTGTCCAAAAAAAATACAGAAACACTGAATAATTTAGGTTGCAAGGGACTTCTGGAAGTCATGTAGTCCAACTCCTGCTCAAAGCAGATGCCTCTAGATCAAATGGCATTGGGTCTTGTCCAGTTCAGTTTTAAATACCTCCAAGAATGGAGATTCCATATCCTCTGTAGGCAACTTGTTCCGATGTTTGGCCAAGCTCACGGTGAAAAAATTTCCTTGTATCTGATTGGATTTTCCCATATTGCAACTGGTGTCCATTGCCTCTCACCATTATCACAGTGCACCTTCAAGAAGACTCTGGCTCCATCACCTTTATAGGCTCCCTTTAGGTATTTGAAGAAATGGGCCAGTACAGGCAGGTATGTCAGTTTGGCACTTCAGACATGCTGGAACCAAATAAGACTATAGGAGATCTTGGATGATTTGTTTGTTTGTTTTCCACACTGATTCCAAAGGTTCACAGAAGTACCTAAATTTCTGTACAGCCACTCCCGTGAAAACCACAGAGCAAAAGAAAATGCTCTGTAATTTTCAGTCTGACCTTACGCATAAAGAGAATAACCCAATTAAAAGAGCGTAGGCGGCAGAAAGATATCCAAACCACTCTGTAATTAGCCTGGAGACGATTTCTCTAATAGAGCCACTGAAGGCCATAGACTAAACCTGCCCCTGGGGCATTCTGATCCAATAAGTATATGCTGGGAGCGGGTATGGAACGGGAAGGAGACCGCTAAAGCTGTGGGCCCTGCTGCAGTCGGTAGGGCAGCCCAGTGGTATGCATTGACACAAGAGCTTTGAGATACACCAAAGGTTTCAATAACCCTTGTAGCACCTCGGCATCAGAAGGGACGAAAAGTGGTTTACAGCCCCCGCAGTACTTGTTCTGTGGACTGCAAGAGTCAGAATGCTGTATTTCAAGAACAGCCCTCTGGGAAGGGAATCCACTTCGTTTGCTTTCCCTTGGAGATGTCCCACAGACAGAAACATTAAAACTTGAAATTTGTGTTATTTCAAATATAAAAAATGAAGGGGAAACACACAATATCCCAATAATCTGTCACACGTTCGTTACGTATCACAAAGGAGGAAAAGTGCTTACCTCCCTCGATGTCCCACTTAGAGCTTACAATGCACAAGCAGGAAATACCACTGCATTAGCATTCCTTGTGGAGATCAGATTTGATACTTGTGGCTGGAGCTGAAGTGCTCCATTGCTGCACCAATAGAGAAAGAACAATGTGGGACAAGTAAAAGAAGGAAATAAGATACTTTAACCAAGTGATCTCTTCAAAGCAACCCTATTAGAAAGATACTGGACTGTGACTCCTATTTTTAGTAAGGAATCATATTTAAAGTCTAATGTTAATCTATCCTCTTGGCTAGTTAATACCAAACATAATTAATGCTGGATGTTTATTTTAAAAAAATAACAACAAACTTTTGGTACTAAGTAATGATAGTCCCAGTCATTTAGTCTGACAGATAAGCTTTGAACTTTCACTCTTAGCTATACCACAAAGTTCCATTATAAGGTGCTTGATGAGAAAAAATGAATTTAAAACACCATCACTGTATCTTAGGTTTTGCTAGCCTGCTGCAACTGGGCTTTAAAACATCTGGGGACTTTTCTGCTTGGCTGTTGATTAAAATCACAACCTTTTGCCGAAGTGCCATTTGATCACGGAAATAAACTGCTCTTTCCTTTTCAGAGCTGTAGCTAAACCACTGCTTGGAATATAAAATGCTAATATGTAGTTACTAGTACAGGTGATCTGAGAGGCAAGAGTAACACTGAATATTCCTATAACAACCTTTTAAGGATTTGTGAAGTCCAGATCTTCAGCTGCATCTGTTCATTATGTCCACCAATATTTTCCACTCTCTTTACAATTCAAATATTCTGGGAACTAAATCTTCAAGCTGTATGTACTCAGAATATTTGCTTACATGCATATATATGCATATTTAATTTTTTTCTCAAACTGTCTTTCTAGTTTTAAAATCATAACAGTTCTGTTCCTTAGTGACTCCTGTGAAATTTCTCTATCCCTTATTTGTTCCTTTTGCTCTAGCATAAGAAAATACCCCAGATCAGTGTGTTTTGATCAATAAGTTAGCTACTTCTGCTTCTGAGTATATCCAGGAAGACAATTTATTTGGCAAGAATATTGTTTTTTTGCAAGTTAAGTGCTTTGAGAACCTGGTTATGATTAAAGCTGTCTCTCGAGCAAATCAGAAATCTTTTTAACACAGTCCACAGGTCAGAGAAAAATGGTGTCTCCCTCTGAACAATGATTGTGAATTTGGGAACCAACTAAGAGTTTAGAGATTATTTAGTCAATAATTAGTAATTATCATTTTGTGTCCTACCAGGTGGAAATCCTTGATTGGAAGACAAAGAAACAGCTATGCTTCCTAGATAAGGTAAAACAAAAATCTGTTTAAAATGCTAGGAGACTATTTAAAAATTACTAACTTTTCTTACGTAAACGTAATGTTTGTGAAGGGTATTTCATCTCCTGATAGCCTTCCTTTGGCCACTGAAGAGGCAACAATTACGCACACTTCATACTGACTACAGAGTTCTTCAACGCTTTTCCAGAAGGAGCTTTTGGGCAAAGAGCACAATTTCAGCTGCCGTACTAAGATGGTGCCAGTTGTGCCTTACTCACCCATAAGCCATCAAACTGTCACTGCTGTTGTAGTAACTCTCCATCACTGCTAGAGAAGCTGCCTCTGAAACGGATGCCACAAATTGTCCTCCCTTTTTCCTGTAAGAAGTACTTTGAATCTTCCATACCAATCCTAGCCATCTGTAAGAAAGTTATACTGTTACATTGTTTGCGTCACTTTTCTACTTGTATAGTCTTACACCTAGCAGTTGTCTTTCAAAATATGCATCTTACACATACGATATTTTCTGTTGCCTAGGTGGAACCAAATGCCACAATTAGGGAGATCAGATTGATGTTCCATAAAGTATGTGAGTATAACTTTTGCAGCAGTTCACATCACATCAGAATATTCAGTATATAAAGAGGAGAAAATTACATAATTTGAAACATGTGATGTATACACGCACATAATGCTAAGTAACCTGCACATGAATGTGATCACAGTGAGATTACAGTACCATTTTTTTACACTATCCTGATACACCTTTGTATTTTTTCCGCTGCATAATTTCTCACAGCTATTCATGTTGAATAAATATTCCTAAAAATCTTTAACTAAATCTTATCTTGTTGTGTTGCATTCATTATAATAGTGGATGATCTAAACCAAACATATCACACAATTCTGTATGGTCTTACAGATCCTCGGTGGTATCCAGCAAGGCAGTCGATAAAACTTGATCCAAGTAAGTACTTGTGAGGACTAGAGTAACAAAGCTCTGAGCAGGGGCCTGGCGTAAAAGGTGTACTTTGCATGGGTATTAGCTCTTAAGGATGAGTTTCCAGCTACGTTAATTAGCACTATGAAGGCTGAAGAGAATCCAGAACAAATTTAATTCTTTGAAAGTATTGAACAGAGTTCCACCCATGTGCCTGGTGCTCGGTAATTAACTCAGGAGTCTGCACATGGTTCCAATGCACTTTCTAACTACTGAGCACTTTTGCTTTCAAGACAGGCAGCACAGATTCTAGATACTAATTTCCCTTAGCTGCAGCGAAATGATCTCCACAGTGTTGCTCAGATGGGAGTACTAAAAAGGGCTATGAGTTAGAGCTATCAATTCACATAATCCTCTGCTCTCAGGCAGGAATTACAGTTCTTGTGAGGTAAGCTAATGCAAAACACATTGCCATGAATGTAGGATTTGCTGACAAAGCTGATGCCAGCTGGCTGACTTCATTAATGCAGTTGTAGGTATTGCTACTAGAAGCCTCTTAGTACACGGCCTGGGTGCACAAAAGAAAGTCTAGCTGCCAAACTGTGTTAATTCATCTTAGCATTCAGTAGAAAACGTAGCACTTTCTTCTTTTGCTTCCATTAAGCATAATTTTATTTAAACAGTCCCTTAAAAGTATGCTGGTGAAGATTAGTTCACTGTGTAGAATCCGTCCACGGAAAACAGGCATATGAATATCTTATTTCCTTCTTCAAAGACCTACTTTGTCAGATTCCTCCATGGACTTATGTTGTGAGACTTGCCATGCGAAAATGCTGGCCTTCTGGAGATTCCCCCAAATCTAGGCATTAAAAGCTTGAGTACTAGCCCAAGTCCTGTGGAATCACCTCCTAGCTGGTTGGTTGGGAAAAAAGGAGGCAATGAAAACCTCTGTAGGAGAGCCTTCCAGCCTCAGCTTATCCTAGCTTCTGTTTGTCTGACGACGAGCAATGAGAAGAGGGGAAGAGAGAGGAGAGAGATGGAGGTGCAGCTGACTAGGAGGTCAGTGAACTATGTTAAAGGGCAGTGACCCATCAGCAAATTCCGCTGTAGCAGCGATGAAGCGAGTCTACTAGACTAGGCAGGCACGTAGGATTGAGAATTCTCCTAACTGTCTTGGTGTGAATAGCGGATCCAGGCTTACATGTGATTACAAGGATGAATCAAAATTAAGTATAAACATTCTTAGTTTGTTTATTGAGATTCCAATAAACCCACGTCACGTCAAAGAATCTCACAGATGATTGGTTAAAGCACAGTATAAAGCTAGTATGCTACCAAAGTTGACTTGAATTTCACTGAGATGTAATTACTTCTTTCCTTCTCAGAAGGAAAGTCCCTGAGGGATGAGGAAATCCTGCAGCACCTCCCTGTTGGCACAACTGCTACCTTATACTTTAAAGATTTAGGGCCACAGATAGGATGGACTACGGTGAGCTATGCTTCAAGTCTGAGCCATTTTAATGGCTATTTTTCCATAATTAATCCTCACATCACTTTTTGTCTCTCTCCAATATTTCTGCATGATGCCTGCTCTGATGGTGGATGCAGGCAATGAATCCTCATTGCTTCAGTTCATTTAATCAGGGAAAGCAGTAACAGAATATTCTGAATGCCTAGTTCCCTGGGAGAGCAGCAGTGGAAAACTTGCTGCAGGATAGGTTGGCTCTACTGAACTAAGGTGCAGGTTCTCAAATGGATTTAGACGTCTACTGCGAAATCACTAGGAACTAGGTGTCTAAATGCCTTTGAGGATGTGGTTCACAGGGCCTGCGTAACTCTCCTGACAAAGATCAGGATTATACTCCTACGAGTTTGTCCTGCAAAGAGGCACGTGAGCAACTTCACATGCAAAATGCATGAATGTAAGATCAGTTAGCTGTCTGCATGTGGCTGCATCCCGGGACGCTAGTGGCAGGCTGATGACAGCTGATAATTTCTGCAATATTGGTAGCCATCCACGAAGACCTTGCATGTTTACTGTCTTAGCTCAAATGCAAATCCTGTCACAACCCACTCGGCAGGCAACACAGCACTGCTGTTTATGCAGTGAGGTGGCCAATGACCCTGCCAGTTCTTCAGAAGGTCCACGATGCGCATGTTACACTAGTTCTAATGAAACAGCACAGCACAAAGGGAAAGGTACCCCGTAATTTAAAGGCACATTTACCATTTCTTTGCTATGAGATATTAATAAAATCTTGTGTTAATGACAAATAGCAAAGACAACATTCATAGGAGGTAAAATAAAAGAAGTCAAATGTTCTGCAAGATGTGAATCTTCACATCACTACTTTGGATGCAATGCTGATAAATCATCAGCTACTACGCAATCCAAAAAAACAGCAAGACAGGCAAAACTTCTAATGGCAATATAGACTCCAAGACACACATGCATTAATATATACCAAAATATCACAGTGCAGAGTAACACCAGACTTCTGCCATTCTACAATCTTTCCTTTACATTCTGCTCTCCGGGCCCTCCAAGCTACTTAATTCAAATGTAAGCCAAGAAATACTTCAGTCTTATCAAATAAAAAAGACAAACTTGTCATCTGTGATCAAATATGCTCTTCGCCAGAGAAAATGCTGATTGCTACAGAAGTCGATAACACAACTTTTCTGAGTGTCAAAATAACTCTAAATACATTAGAAAACAGCGGTTGGGTTTTTGTTTCTTTGTTTGTTTGTTTTTTGACAGAAGTACAATCAATTTCCCTTCTTTCTCCATAAATGAGGTATAGGCCTGCCTTCCTCACTTACAGAAGTGTGGAAAATTCAACTGTCAGTGTCTGGTCCAAAGTTAACTTCAATTTAAAGTGATGTTCCTAAGAAATACACACCTATCTGAAATGAAACCAAGTTAGATAATAGCCTCTTTGGTTTCCTCTCTTTTTTTTCCCCCCTTTTTTTTTCCCCCCTTTGTGTTCAGATTAAGGATTGTTTGAACATAGAACGAATTGATTGTTTCCCAGGACATCTGCTGTTCGTACAGATGGGGTCACCTGTGAACACTTACAAGCTGTGTTTTAAGTTTAAACAAAGTTCATTCATTAGAAACAAAGTTCCTCTTTTTCAAGATAAACTCTTCACCAAATTTCATTTTAACCCAAAGCAAAGCAACAGTTTTTGAGGGCAAGAGGAGGGTGAGAGCTGCGTAAATGTAACACGCATGCATATTTATCGTGATCTCTGGGCTGCCATGATTATCTTTTCACACCCATACTGTGTCAGCTGCACTGGCAATGGCTGTTTGTATGCAACTGAGGCAAATGCATTGCAAAACATTCACGTGCATGTCTACCACTTTCATACCCCAAGCCCAAACCTGCTATTCCCTCCCTGCCTCTCTAAGTGCCACCCTGGGTCAGTGGAGGTGTTTATCCCACTGCATTAGTTATCACAAAGAAACCAAAGCAAAACCATCATCTAATTCAGCTGTCTAATTATTTTCTCTCTTTTTGCAGGTATTTTTGATAGAATATACAGGTCCATTGTTCATCTATTTTCTGTTTTATTTCCGCATGCCTTTTGTCTATGGACTGGATGAGAGGTTTACATCAAGCCCGCATCCAGTAGTTAAGTAAGTCCGTTTGCAGGCTTGAGCAGTATTTCTTGTTAGCATTGTAGTCTTATTCCAAATGTCTTGCCACACTTGTTTTTTTAAGCACTCTTAAATGCTTTTGTCTTGCTGTTTCTAGCTTGGCATGTATCTGCCATTCTTTCCACTACATCAAAAGGTTGATTGAAACAGTATTTGTTCATCGGTTCTCCCATGGGACTATGCCACTGAGGAATATTGTGAAGGTAAATTGTGTCAGAATCTATCCATAGCCCCCCTTACAAATCCAACCTAGCCGACCTATGCTCTGCCTCTGCAGAACACATTTTTTGGTGTGGCTTTTTGTAGAATGCACAGCAAATCTCACCCATAAATCTGTAGTTCTTTGAAAAGACTTCTTAATGTCACTGTTGTATAATGTTGCCATACTGCTATTCATGTTACAGTATTCTCATTGCTCGTGTAGAATTTTAAACCTTCGGGGTACCCTTCCTTTTCACTCAGCTAGCTCCTGGGGCGTGAAGGTTTTAGTCAAAATATTAATTTTTAAGGTAGCACAGGCAGGCACAATATTGGGAGGGTTGCTTTTTTTTAAAAAAAAAAATCTACTTTTTGTAACAGTCATTTTACATCTTCTTTGCCCTTAACACTCTCTTTGCTGTTAAGCAACTGTTAATTTACCTTTGATCCAGCGTAAAGCAGCTTGGTTGTTCTGCATTTTCTTCTCCCGCAGGAGCACTCCCTAATGTTGCCAGTGCTGCTGCGGCATAGGGCAGCAGTTGAGATGTGGACCCCCTGTTTCCTAGATGTCTGGGAAGTAGTACAGCAGACTGCATGGTTATGCACGGGCTGTAGTTGCGTTACGAATGTTTGCAACAGAGTACACACTGGTATTCAAAAATACGCTTTATACTCAGGAAGGCAGAAGATTATCATCTACAACTGGAAAAGCATATAGTATAGTATCAGCATTTGGGTATTTAATGTTTGGTATTTAGACAGACCCTTTGAATTTGGATTATGGCAGTGATACTCCCAGCAGCTGAAGCTCTACCTTGTGGCTAACTCCTTACAGCTGTGCAGCGGCTCTGGTAGTTCTGGTGGTAGCTTCATGCTTTCTAAATGGAAGAAGGGTCTGTAGTTGAGCAGTGGCCCTCAGAAAGAATCCTCCCTAGCAATTTACTGTGTTTTCTGCAGCGGAATAGTGCAGGGGTTGTTAAATGGCTAGCAGATCTCTTAAAGACTTGTTCTTGACACAACAGGAGCTAATGCATGATAAACAGCAGATAGATGAGCAACTTTACCTTGAATAAGAATCGGTACAGTGTGATAAATCTTCATTTTCTCACTGCCATCTCTGACAACTACTCATTCCTTTCAGACCAGTTCAGCTGTTGCCAAAATTGGCATTTGTACCAGCCATTCTGGTCACTTCAACTTTTCCACCTTCTCAGGTTGGTGGTACTTGCTTTCACCTGTAAAGTTGCTCACAGTTCTTCTTCTACTTGCTTAGCAGTGCTTGGGTTTGATTTGCTTTTACAATTTCGTTGACTTTGGTGGTGTTACTCCAAAATTGTGCCAGTGAGAAAAATATCACAGCCTCTTCCCTTTTTTCTCTCACATACAGATGGTAGACAAAGCTTCTTACTTCAAGTGTTTGATCACGCACATAGCAGATATAGATAGCTTATTTCCTAAGCGCAATGGAAAGCTACCTTTAACAAGAGACACTTCAGTCTCGATAAGCAGAGATCTGAGACAGGCATTGATGAGATTTGTGATTTTCATCCTTTGTTTACCAAATGAAAATAGGAATAAATGATGCCGTAAAATGCTGCAGGGCTTCAACAAAAGCAGTTCATGCTAGATACTAACATAGTATAATTCTTTCCAAGATATGTGATTTTTCTAGGCAATGGAAAGGTAGAATATTTGGTTTATCTGGACTTAGTAAACAACTGGCTCAGGGTGAATAAGATAGGGATTAATACAAAAATTGTGTGGTGATAAAGGAACTAACTAAAGGAAAGATGATCGTGGTTGTGCCAGAAAAGGATCTGTCAGACCTTTAATAACAGGGAGGTACCAGTGGAATTCCACAAAGATTAGTCTTATGACTGGTATTACTGAACATTTTTGCGGGTAAAAAGAAGGGATATTGTCGCTTTCTATAAAAACATCTGGAGGAAAGAAAACACTAGAGCTAAAGAAATACCATTTAAACCAGAAGACGATGTAACAAGACAAACAGAAGGGTACATGCTGGTCATGAATAAACATAGGCAGGGCATTAAGAAATAGGTTTGATCATCATAGGGATCATCCATTGGAGCAGAGAAGACAAAAATCCTAACCGTAACTTTGTAAACTTAGGAATAATTTATTTATGGGATTCCTGCAATACCTGAACTTGATCCACAAAATCTTTTTAGAAGAGATTGTTGTAAAGCTTTATTATTCACCTGGAATATGAAAGATTCACAGAAACAATTTCTTTCTTTCAAGTGAGTTTATGAAGTCTGTGTGTCCTCTGCTGTTCCTATCTGAACCTCACTGGAGGCTTTTGTATGAGCAATAAGGCTTCCAGTGGCAGCTGGACATTTGTAGTGTCACTGCTGAGGACCTTAGCAGTGGCAGACTCCACTCATCTGAAAGCTCCTTTTCTTATAACTGAGGAATACTCTTGCAGCAAATCATGTTCTTTGGATGAATAGTACTTGTTCAGTTTAATTACAGCATGTATTGTTGGGAGCTGAGCCATGATTATTTAATTTCACTTTACTGAAATCCACTGCCGTATGATCCATCCTGTGCCAAGCCCCAAAGTTAGGGAAGGGTTTTTCATAAGATGCCATTCTAAGGTTACAAGAAACTGTTTCGACCTAAGTTTGTACAGCAGTTAGTAAATTGTAGGTGATGGTGGAAGAAGCTGGTGTTAGGGAGGAAGCAGTAGTTTATGGATAGGACCCTAACTAGATTGTTCCTCACTCGAGTCTTTCTTCTGGCTCTGCTGCTTTTCCTGGGGAAAAGGGAAGTCGTCACAGGGAAGTTACTTAATCTCTCTGCCTTTTTGTCCCATCTGACCTGTAATTATTGGTTATTAATTTGCTCTTTCTCATCAGTTATCTATTAATATATGATCTCAGAGCAAGGACATACTGTGTGCTTGTATTACAGCATACCCAATAGGGTGTCCATTTTGTCTGAGGTCTCTGGTCACTTCAGTGGTTCAATTAACTCTGAAAAGAAAGCAGAAATGCAACAGAATGTTTGATACAACTGCTTGCAGCAGATGGGGGGGCTTACCTTTCGCCAGCATTTTCAGAAAAACACACCATTGGGCACTGCAGTCAGCTAGTGTGGGTTGCAGATGCTGAGGTAATCACTTTTGGGGGTATTATTGCTAGAAATGCAGTTCTGGTATATATAGGGGAAAAAGGCTGCAAAATTCAAAGTAAAAAAAAAAAGTTAAACCAGTCAGGACAGGAAAGAATGCAGCCTTGGATAAGAATTTTGGCTGCATGAGCAGGAACGGAAAGCTGTGAAGGAAAAAGCAGAAAGACCTAGAAATGTCTAAGGTACGTGAACCTGGTGGAAGGCCAAGAAAAAAGCATCACCAGAAAGAGTAAGAAGATCAGTGTTTTACTCAAGAATGAAAATAGGAGGGAAGGAAAGATAAGGGGAAGGAAAAGAACAGGAGAAGTAGTGAAAGGAAGATAAAGAGCTCAGTTTTGGTCTTGCTGAAGTCCAGGTGATAACCAAACATGCCCTAAGACATTAAAAACTGAGGCACTAGGTTTGATAAAGGAAGAAATCTCAACTGATGAGAGGCAAGTTTATGAGTTGTCAACAAGGGTTGAAGTCTGTCTGCAAGAGAATGGCACCTGGAGGTGAGAGCATAGAGGAAGAAGAGGAATGGGCCAAGAAAGAGCCTCTCTCCTACCTACAGGTATATAAGGAGGGAAAAGATAACCTGTCACCAAGATACAGAAGCAGCAATGAGTGTCAGAAGAAAAACCACAAGAAAAACCGCAAGAGGCAGGGCCAGGAAAACCAAACAAGAGGTAGAGGTTGTCATTGTAAGTAGGTTTTTTTCATGGATGAAGCCTGTGAAACAAGCTCTGAGATTGGTCAGGAAGGAGTCAGTACAGCCGTTAGTGACAGCTGCGTTACTGGAATTTAGAGGATGGAAGCTGGATCACAGAAAGCCAAGGAGAGCAGCAGAAGGGACAAACTAAAGATACCGCAGTGAACGGGCAGAGGAAAGCGTCAGGCATGATGACTTTAGGTAGGAGAAGTTAAAGCGTGGGAAAGAAAGAAAACTGATGGGGTGAAGGAGAAGAGGAAGGGCAAGAGATTGGGCAACACAAAGTAATAAGCAGGGAAGAGAGCACAGTGCCTAAATCTGGTTTTACAAAGTCTCAGGGGTTAGCAAAACAAGTCTCTCTTTAACATACAGTCTGTACAGCACTTCATCTTTGGCCAAATGGCTTGCCAGACAAGATAAATTTGTTTTCAATAGTACGGTCATACTTTCTAAAACTGTTTATAAACTTAAAGCATGTTTGAGAAGAAATCTTACTCTATGAGTATATATACTTCCTTCCTGTTATTTCCTATTGTCTGTTCCCACCTTACCACACTTAGTATTGTCATTTTTTGTTGTATTATCAGCAACTTGAAGGATCAGCCCAATTCAGTGTTATCAGCAGTCCTTGCAGTGAATACTGGCCTACAGGATTGTACTAAAACAAAGAAAAATTCCCTGTTTTTCAGAACTGCTTGTATTACTGGGGATTTGCAGCTTGGCTTGCTTATTACATCAATCATCCCCTTTACACTCCTCCTTGTAAGTAGCAAAATAACCTTCAATACGATTTAAGTACTTATGTGTTTGCATATTAGTACTAATCACGTCAACTTTTTTTTTTTTATAGCTTATGGGAAAAAACAGATAAATTTTGCTGTGATCATGTTTCTGGTAGGTTTGTTGCTCTTTTTATAAAATGCTAAAACATGTTGCTTTATTTCTTACGTTGTATAAGTGGAGGAGCAAGTAGAATAAGCAGATACTTAAAACTTGAACACGTGGGACATACTACTAAAGATGACCACTTGCATGCAGAACGGATAAATCTGTCAGTTTTTAATGTGATCTTGTACACAAAGGAAGGTTTTGATTCAGTATCCATTCTGAGACTGGGATGATCTCTCATAATCTTTAAAAGAATCCTGGAACTACCAGTTTGTGTTTAAAAGCCAGTGAGTTTGTTTTGTGAACTGTTTATTGACCGTTAAGAATCACAACAGATCATAAAACTCAGAAACCGGCCAACTAAGAAAGCATGTTGCTGATAATTTCCAGGGATAGAGGTTCATTTTGCTGGGCTTCAGAGATTTTTTACAGCTTTCCTTATGAAGCAAAATTCTTAAGTCACTGGCTGTTCATTCTCACAGTTCCTAGGAACATTTCATACATGCAGAAGCAACATTAGTGTGGCCAACAAAGATGTACCCATTTTTCCTATGTGTGTGTAACTTGTTTAGAACATCAGCTGTTCAGTTGCTTTGAGAAACTAATCATCAGTGACTGCAGGATCTCAAAGCAGCTTCCCAGTATGAAAATTCTGTGAGTTCATAATCTATTCCCATTTTATAGAGAGGCTACATAACTGAAAGCACAGAGCTGGGAATAAAACTCAGGAGCTCTGACCACCAGTCATTTGCTTTAATAGTTATGCTTTGCAGACACTGGAGACTGTCCATAATCATATCAATGAGTCATTTCAATACACTTTCTGCATAATTGATTGGGGAAGCATTATTTAAAACCAGTGGAGGAAGCTGGGTCAATTATATTTCATGATTCATATCAATTATACCCTAGAGAAGAAAACTTACTTAGAGTCCAACCCATATCTTCCTTGGGATTTTAATAACTTTTGAGAAACCAAAACTATCCAAATCAATTTTGGGGTGTTTTTAAAGACATAAGAATAACCAAAAGATAAAGCAAGTATCTCCTGGATTTACTTTTATCCCCTTTGGTTTATTGCCTTTAAATCTCATGGGGATTATATAAGTAGTAAATTTGATCTTTCGGACACTGAATCCACATTTGCTGGCAAATATCATAAATACATAACACAGTATAATATGGACTCATGTTTGAACAAAGACATTCCGTCCTCCTGTCAGACAGCAATCTTAGTTAAGGATATTTATTATGTTTATAATAGATTCTCCTCCCCCCCCCCTTTTTTTCTTTAAAGTACCCCAGGAAGTAACGAAAGGAAGAAGAGTAAATAGAAGGGAAGCACATTTTTAATTCTATCGTGCTTTTTCTTGCAGCTGTGTGAAGCTGGAAATTTTTCCATTCACGTTGCACTCAGTGACCTCCGGCGAAATGGTAAAAATTGCATTATCATATTTGACTTTTGCGCAGCCATTCAGTACTTCTACAGTTACTCTACCTCATGAAAGACCTGATCCTGGAGGGCGTTGATACCCACCAGCTGACTGCTGTGGGAGCGCGCAGGTTGCTCAGTACTGTAAAGATTGGATTCTAGGGGAGATCAGACAGTGCAAGGAATCCAACACCAGACTGTTAAAACGTGCTTCTTATCTTACTGTAATTTTTATTGGTTAGGGCCAGGTTGTGTTGGGGGGAGCAGTTATATTAGTTACTGGTAGTGCAAAAAGAAACAGTGCTCATATAAGCTATGCTTTGGTGAGCAAGGGAAAGTAATTTCACTGGCTTCTACAGGGGGCACCAAGATCTCTGTGCAGGCCAGAGATCCTTGGGCATGAGCCAAACATCTTACAGCTATCAACTATGACTGCTAAAATCCCATTCTGTGACAATCTGACAAAACCTTTAGCTTCTAAATCTAAAACTTGAGGTACCTCCTCTTACAGGAGTGACTGTGATCAAAGGCATATGTAGATGACTTTCTAATGCCCAGAACATTTCCTCACAGTTATCCTATTCCTTCTTGTGGGTCCAGAGGACATCCTGTTTTCCCACATCCTGCTTGTCCCTCTGACAGTGATCAGACACAGGAGTAGGCAGATTCGGGTTGTCTTTAAGGAAACAATGTACTTAGGAGTGTGAATATTTTGTGATTTGTTTTCTAATCTATAGGATCCAAAATCCGTAAGATCCCATATCCAACAAAGAATCCTTTCACATGGCTGTTTTTCTTTGTATCTTGCCCTAACTATACATATGAGGTATGTATTTTCAAACAAGAAGTTAAGATTTTTAGTTTTGCTGAATATATTTTCATTTCTTTTCGAATGTTAAACATGGAAGAAACCTCTGAAACAGTTCAGCTCAATACATTTCCCCTCCTCCCCTAAACCCCACGAAATCAGATTGCAGACAGGAACTTGGCTGTTCTTCCTCTCCTCCCTTGAGGCAGTACTTACGGGGCTAACCTTGAACAGCCAGCCCAGACCCTGGGCCTATGCTTCAGCGTGGCTGCTAGACAAGACAAAGATACACTTTAAAGCAGTGCAGATTTTGCAGACAGGAACAGGGAGATTGCCACTGAATGTGTGTTGCAACGAGGGGATGGGGGCATCTGGTGGATTTACAATATAAGAGAGCCCAGGAGTATCACAGTACGCAGGAAGATAGTGGGCAGACGAAGAGAAGATATTGTAGTAGGAAAAAATGGGGAAACAGACGAATAGAAGATATCGTGGTAGAGAAAATAGGAAATAGGCCCAGGTCGTCTTCCCCATTTTCTTAAGTTATACAGTTGCTTGTGTTGCTGGTGACTGCTTTAGAAGCTTGAATCAGTTTATCGCTTCATATTCCTTAATCAGGAGCCAAACTCCTGACTCAGTTCAAAAGCAGTTAAAACCAGTGCAACTGCGTAAAATTCACTCTTGCACAGAAGGACAGCATCAGGTTTAACTTCAGTGGAGATTAACAGCTGTTAATGAGAACAGCATTCCACCTCAGAATATAGAAGGTTACCATTCCTAGCATTGATGGAGGTGTGACAGATACAAATTAGGCAGAGAAACGGAAAGGACACTGTTGCAATGCTTAAAATTTTTGTCATGATAATAGCTATGGAAGCAAACACAAAGGCTTTGTTTGTGATAAGGCACTGTTCACCTTTTTGGCTAAAGGTTATTAACACTAGAAATTGATCTGGCTGACCTTGGCTTTTTTATTTACCTATACTAGGACAAGGTTGTTTTTGATCAATAGAGACATAAATGCAAATGCTGTCACCAGAAATATTTTAAATTTCCTTGGCCAAAACAGGTGGGGACCTGGATCAGTTTCACTATCATGACTCAGTGTGTTCCAGGTGAGTAACATTTTGGTACTTCACCCTGAAGTGATGTCAGCAACAAGAGTGTGTTTTTAATCTGATAATGAAACGTATCTTTTCCTCCCTTCTTTCCAGTGGGGCTGTTCACCTTGCTTTGCTTCATTCAGATGACAATCTGGGCAAAGGATAAACACTGCACCTACCTACGAGAATTCAAGGATTATCCAAGTCTTCGAATGCCAATTATTCCTTTTTTGTTGTAAGAAAAAAGGTTTAATGTGAATATTGCACGGAACTTCAAGAAGAAAAAGCTCATAAACCTCCTGCCAAATAAGTGAATTAATTTAAAGGATTTCGGTGCATGTTGAATCCCCACTGCTGAGGGAAATTGTATGCACTTGAAAGCTACACTTCCTTACATTCAACAATTCTCAGCTCAGAAGCACCTTCAAAAAATAAGGCTTCATTGCACAGCTGGTAGTCAAAGCCCCTACAGTTCACTGTAACCTGATTGACTTAGATTTTCCTGTACTAGTCTATTTAGATTGATGGATCAGAGATACTGAGAAGTCTGTGCTGAAAAGCAGCTCCAAATTTAGCAGTGGCATTCTGTAAGACATAAGTAGATTGGAACGAGGACATACCAGCTAACAACTAGAGAGCTCAGCTCAGCCAGCACGGCCAGCTGGCCTGAAGACAGTTGCATGATCTGCCTTGTTTGACTTGAAGAAGAGAGTGTGTTGCCTGGAGGCAGGTGCTTTGTAACAAATAACATTACCAAAGAATATGAATGGTTCCTGGAATAAAGAAACAGGCAATATCTCAAATACATGATTTGGGTCTAACCCCTAATTTGCCAAAAGAATCTGAAGAAAGAAGTATTTGTAGTATTTGTGGATGTAAACATCCTGCGTTGTTGGGGGTTTTTTGTTTGTTTGTTTTTGGTCTTCTTCATTGGTAAATTGCATACTAGTAAATAAGGTTCAGGAGATCTGATCTATGCTATATCTGTGATATTTGGCCTGTTTTCATATAACAAGTCCTTATGATACTAAAGGACCTTTTACATAGCATTTTGTGTAGCATTCTCCAAATAATTTTTAATACACTTTGTAAATACATGAAGTGAGTGCTAGTCCTCAGAACGCTAGCTCCCTTCCTATTTTCAGAGCCAGGGAGAAAAATCAGCTACATTTTGGACTTCCTGTGTTTTCTTTTTCACAAGATGTTCAGTGGGACTTAGTTGGGTTTTGTGCAAATCTAGTAAAAAAGGACTATTGCAATCTATCTGAACGACATTTTAAAGAAGCTATTTTAGAATATGAAGAGAATACGTAGATACTGTTTTGTTTCATGATTAATTTATTTATCTATAATGGATGTATAGAAAGGTTTTTGCAACTATTTGTAAGGGTGAAACATGCAATAAATTCTAGACTATCTTTTGAAATCAGTTGAAATAATTATGGCAAAAGAAGACTACAGCTGGTTGCTGAAGTGTCTTAATATTTTGCACAGTAAAATGCAAGAACATCCTTATATAAAAAAAATCTACATCAATTGAAGAAAAAAACCTAACAAAGCAAAAATACATGACCCAGATTTTATTTCTGTATAACATATTTTAGAGAAGATTTCTTAGAAACGGTTAGATCTGGTAGATAACTGAAGCAATACATCATTATGAATTTGTTTTCAGTATTGTTATTTTCCACTAGTTTAACTGTGAACCAGAGAAAAGAGCTAAATGTCAAATGATTTCCCACTGAGTGCAGCGTGGAGTACAAGCAGGTTGACATTTTCCTTTTGAGCACAGGGAAAGCATGTACCCTATTCACATTTTACACCCACTTAAGGGCCAGCCACAGGAAAGAAAAATCTGATCTTGTTTAGTAACAGATATCTTCACAGGCCTCCATGAGAAAACAAAACTTTTGGCAGATTTGGACATACTCTCTTTCCTTGTAATCTTCATTTTGACATTCTGCTTCTATTTGAGAAACTTGAAGATGAGTATGAGATCATTCTCATTAAGATTTTTTTTTTTTTTAAAGCAAATTTCTTGCCTGGGTCTGAGATCTGAATTAATTCTTCCCATTCTTGCTGAGACAACCGTCTGTTTTCACTGGCAGCCTGGTGGCAGGCTTCACAGACAGTGAAGCAGTCTCCCAGCACTAGCCCCAGCAGCCAGCACTGATGTTCTGGCCTTGGTAGTCCTGTGCACTCAGAATGGCAGGAATCCACTTCTAAGCTGGGCAATGCTCTCTGCCTTGGGACCTGTCTGTTGACTGATAGCAGTTGGCTTAAGAGTTAAACAAGAAAAACCTACCAGCCTGAAACAACCAGATAGAGAAACTGTCTTTAATGCTCTTTACATATCATCAAGGAGGAATGAGACTTCTCTTCTTGTATCTTATAATGAACTTTATGTTAGAGGAAGATTTTGTTCTATAGCAAGGACCTGCCTTTCCTTGGACACTTTCAGCACGTAGCGTTCCTGGTAGAGCAGTAGATGTTGGCTGTTGCTAGGGCTGTTGCTGTTGTGAGCACAGTGCTCAGAAAGGTGCAAAAAAATCAGTATAATACTGAGTGTGGGAACCTTTGTTTTACCCTTGTACTGCTCTGGTATGGCACATCTTTGCACTGTGCACACTCTAAGCGCTAGTGACTGTAGGAATAGTCTATGCGACTGCCTGCTGATGCAAAGCAGGGGACACCTTTGCTTCTCGGCTGGCTCCAGCTGCACGGGGATGCAAAGGAATTTCCTCATCCTCCATCTGCTGTTTAGCAAAGTTCACAAAAACCTGTGTGAGGAAAGCAGAAAATGTCACCACCTCATCAACTGAGATGAGTTAGTGGAATGTCTCTGTACATTCGCATCCTCTTGGCCTCTCTGCAGGGAAGAGACAGAAAGGGGAATCCATAGACATGAACTGAACTGAGACACTGCGTATCAGCAGGGATCATTAATTCCTTCTTTATTTTGATAAACTTCCTTGCAACTTCCTTCCTTTCGATGCACTTACTTGCAACTAAAATCCCATTTTTTCTTAAGCAGGAGATGGGTTCAGCAAGGTTTGCATGGCTTGCACAACGTAAGTGAGTTTGGTTGTGATGGGAAAAAGGAGACAGAATATTTTAGTAGGAAGCTGTAAGGCAGCCAGGAATGTGTCTCTAGCATTCCTGTCGAAGAGAGCTTTGCATATGTAGACCCTCAGCTACTTAGGGAAGCAGGCAGATGGGGCTAATACCCTCTAGCAAGTGGGTGTTGCCAACAGTCCCACTGGACTTTCCAGGTTTCCTGTGTCTAATTGCTCCTGTATAAAAGTGCATGATAGAGACATATAAACATTTAACTAGATATCACAGTATTGCTGACACAACACAGTCCAAATCTCTTATTTAAAATAAAATGTTATTTCCGGCTCAACAAACCTCATTCTGAATAGCTGACCTTGCTCAGACTGCTGCTCCTGAAGGAATGGGTTGTGTGAATTCTGGCATCTGGGAAGCACTGTCTTACCAGCTTTTAAATGGCACCTATTTACACAGGGAATTACTTACAGATTTCATATCTGATCCACCCTCCTTGATGAGGGGTCTGCGAATTTTGCCTCAGAAAGAGGTGCAAGATAATTCTCTACTCTGAACAGTTTGGTCCTTCAGTTGTTTAAATACGTCCCCATTGCACTACCTAATTCTCGCCACACAGGCTTTCTCATGGATGCTTTATTTTTTACTCACCTGATCTAATGTTGTTTGAGACACAGAATATTCCTCAATATGCAAGTTTTCCTTATTGGAGATTATTAACTGAAAAATCTTAGCCAGAGAGGAGGAGCAAATCTGATACTGCAGCATGTTGTAGTGTTTCTCTCTCTGTAAACTCCCTGGGAAGTTCATGCGTATGAATTGCTCAGCAGGAGTAGGATCTGGAGGCAGCCCAGACTTCGGAGCTTTGATTTTCAGAGTGACAATGTAGCCATCTCCAAACCTGGAAAGCACATGTGGATTTGGGAATTGGATGAAGAGACGGTTTCATTATTCAGGAAGAAAATTCATTTTCAGCAGCTATGAAAACATTAACAGTATCTAAAAGATAACACGTGAGATCTAGCTTTGTAGGAAGCTCTGTATTTGCCTTGCAGAAGTGGCGTGTAGCATAACAGAGTTGAAATGAGGTCTGCTCAAATTGTCTAGGATACCACAGAGTTGCACCCAGAAATGGGTCTGTTTAAACAACAGCTCTTCAGATTGGATTGCTGTATTAAGAACAGTACATGTCACATACACTAAGTTTTCACATTAAAAAACACCATAAAAATATTCTACTTACTTGTATTTTAGCTGCTGAATTGTGCCCAGGCATCTGAAGGTACCTTTTACCATGATGGCTGAACGAGTACAGAGGGCTTCACATTCTTCCATGCTTTCAAAACAGAGAAGAGATATTTGAGATAAAAGCCAGCAGATGAACTTCAGCTACTCTGGGATTCTGACTTCTAACTCTTTTTACCTGTGTGAGGTTAGAACCACAGCTCGCCCATCTCTGAGTATGCTGACAATAGAGTCCCACAGGAGGCGCCGGGACTGAGGGTCCATTCCAGTAGTCGGTTCATCCTGTAAGGGATATGTTAAGACAATTGGAGTCAGAGAAGCAGATAAGAAAAAGAAAATCTATGCAGAATCAAGTCACCGTGTGTTTGGGCCTTAGCATATAGCTGCTTCTCTACTGAAATCTGTGCCTTGAGAAAGCACGTGCACCTTGAGAAGCATGTGAGTGAATGGGTACTAATGTACTTCTTGGCACAAAGCAGTAAGGAAACAAGTACAAGAAACTGCAGGTAAGAATATAATGCTGTCTGCATAGGGCACAGCTACAGGGAAGGGAATGCAGTCACCATTATGACAAAGGCAGTCCCCAGTCTAGGGTCTTCGATATCAAAAAAGTAAGCATTTGTGATACCCCATTATAAAAACATGTAGGACCCAAAATAGAAATAAATGGAAAGAGGCTCATGCAGTAGCAGCTACATCAAATTGTGTCAAGTTTGGCTCCCATGTTTTGATGGACATTGGAGATGTTGATCAATATACTGCAGAAACAAAGAGGAGAATCTTATATCTGTAATACTAGCTTTAAGACAGAGATGAACACTTTGAGTAAAATCTTCCTTTTCTGGGGCAACAACTCTTGTAAAAGGAGAGTGAGTTCTCCCCAGGTAACCTTCTAACTTACATAAACATAAAGAACACATTTCTCAACCCAAGAAGCTAGTGAAGTCACCCTGATTTACACCAGCTAAGGATCTGGTCCTGCATAAATCAGTTAACCCAGTTAGTAACAAAAAATTTTTAAAAATCTTAGAGAAAAAAATTTTCATGCAACATTTTGTCTTAAGAAATTATGAGAAAACATTTTATCTGACTGTTAGTAAACAGTCAACATCCTGGCAGAATACATGTAAAGGCATAGTAAATGGTGCAAGGAGCCATGTTATTAAAATGTTTCTTTTTAGCCTACAAATTAAAGTGGTACAGTATAACCTAAATGAAGAGTTTTTGTAGTAATTGCATTTAGAATTTCCCTTGAGATATGCACTTATGTGATAACTTATGTTATTTGATGAGAACTACATTTCAGCATTTGTATAGTTTAGTCTAAATTTGTATAATTTATTCCAAAGATATTAAAGGCTGAAAAAGGGTAGCTATCTTCCTCTGTTCTGCTGGATAAAGCCGCAAGGTCTATGTTGTAAGATCATCTTTTACATGAGTGGTTATACTCTGACAAGAAAACGCAGACTGAAACCAAACGTGGATTTAAATTCAGATTTGTCTGGATTATAGATTTTATCTCAAACCATTCTTTGTTGAAGATCTTTCTTTCATAATCACTTGGGGTCCATTGAAAACATACTTATGCATCCCAGTCTATCCCTGAAATTAAAGAACTCAAAATTGCATTGAAGTAGATGTAAGTTGAGGGCAGAAAGGAGCTTGCAAGGACTGTCAAACATCCTTGTACTTCTTTAGCATGTAGTTTTATAAGATGTTATATTGAACTATCACAGAGCTATGTTACCATGACACTTACTAGCAAGACGAGTGGTGGGCAGCCTATCAGTGCAATGGCAGTGGAGAGCTTGCGCTTGTTGCCACCACTGTAGGTACCAGCCAGGTGGTCTGCATACATAGGAAGTCCCAGCTTCTGGATGCCCCATTCAGCAACCTATGAGAAACACAGTCTTTTTCACACAGCACCTAATGCACAACAGACGGGATTGCTGATACATCCCTCTTCTGGCAGAGACATGGCAATCCCCTGGGTTTTAGCACATTCATTTTAGAACTGGAGCAGGGGGGTCCAAAAAATTTATGATGATGAGGGAGATGATAACTACTTGAGGGAAAGCCATAAACCAGCCTCAGCTGTAGACTTCCTATCTGTGCAAGAATTTAAATTATTTTCTTCTGGAATCTTATCATAGAATCACAGAATAGTTTGGGTTGGAAGGGACCTCCTAAAGGTCATCTAGTCCAAACCCCCTGCCGTGGGCAGGGACATCTTCAGCTAAATCTTCTTCATGTTTTCTTTCTTACACATAAACAACTTTAAAGACAAGAACAAAACAGCAACCGGTGCAGTTCTGAGTCATAGCAATTGCATCTTTAGCCTTCCACAGTTGGCACCACAGTTTTGCAAGTACCATTAATGCCATTTGATAGTGCAGTCTTGTACTTAACTGTCCAAATGACAGGAACCACTCCCAGAACTTCAACACACAGAATGGCAAGCCCACTTTGGAAATTCTGGCCCTTGGCATGTTACGAACCCAGTTAATCATCACAAATATTCACTCTAACTACGTATAAGTCAAAAGCAAGAATGCTTTACCCTCTTGATTTCCTCTGCTGGAACTCCCCGCAGGCGTGCATATAAGTAGAGGTGTTCTCGTCCTGTGAGCAGGTCATCAATGGCATCAAACTGAGGGCAGTATCCCATGTTTTGACGGACGTTAGAAATGTGGGTCAATACACTGGAGAAACAAAGAGAAGAATCTTATATCTGTAATACTAGCTTTAAGACAGAGATGGACACTTTGAATAAAATCTTTCTTTTCTGGGGCAACAACCCTTATAAGAGGAGAATGAATTCTTCCTGATACAAGATCCTACTAAAATATCTGTCTGTACAGAACAGCAAGGAATATATTCTCATCTAAGTCAGCTCAGTTCTGGTTAAGAGTGTAAGCCCATTTCCCCTCACCCATTTTCCTGTTTAAGTAAAGGCTAACTTAACGAGTTGTTCTTTGAATAGCCACTCAGATCATATTTTTTTGCAAATGGTGTTTATTTCTAGAAGAAAAAAAATCACTCCATTTCATCTCAGAGCATGGTCACTGGGAACAGACAGGCAAGACACAAGGCTAACACTTCGTTGGTAGTAATAGTAGGAAAAGCACAGAATCACAGAATGGTTGAGGTTGGAAGGGGCCTCTGGAGGTCATCTTGTCCACCCACCCTGCTCAAGCAGGGTCACCCAGAGCAGGCTGCCCAGGACCATGTCCTGGCAACAAAACAGCTATTGTTCAAACCACATCATGGACAAAGAATCAAATCTGAACTACGCCTAACAAACGAAGACACACAACCTGGAACTAAACTAACATAAGTGAATACCAGATCACGCTGTATTAACTTATGACATTATGCCAGCACTGTGTAAACAAAGATGTTAGAAAAGTAGCAGATCAAAGTACCCTGTTGGACTGGTTATCTTATGTTTGCGAGCTCTTACCATTAGATCCGATTGCCTTGTCCCACTGTTAGCGTTAATGTAACTTACTCACAGATTTTAGAACAGAGTGTTAAAAGTATAAAGTGCCAGCGTGTGTTAGCTGTGGTCTCTCTCAGTGCCATAAAACTGGAAAAGAGCTGCTGGGTCATTGGGACTATGATCTGGGCAGTTCTAAACCTGGTAAATGGACCGTCACAGGTTTTTTTTAAGATACTTACCTATTGCCAGCCACTACAGCATCTCCAGATGTCACATCAGTATCTCCAGTCAGCATTTTGAACGTTGTTGTTTTGCCAGCACCATTCACTCCCAAAAGACCAAAGCACTAAATTACAAAATTTATCACATTCTTTAGTATTTCCAACTTGCAAATCAGCAGGGGCACGACTTCTGAACTGATCCATGGAAAGTAATCTAGTGTTATTGAACAACCTACCTCTCCGGGACGGATGCCAACACAGAGTCTGTCCACTGCAGGCTTGTGCCTACCTGCATAAATCTAAATTGACAGGGAAAAAAAAAAAAGAAAAATCCTATTTCAAGACATCTACAGCAATGAAAGTCTTCTGAATTTTTAGTTTAATGTTATTGGGATGAGGCAACTTTAGAACCAAGACAGGACTAAATAAAAAAATTAAAAAGATTGATTCTACATTCTACGAAGTCAGACATTTAGTTACATTAAATAAATTTGTAATGACCCCTAAAAATACCAATTTTTCTGTATGCAGACTTTTACTTCATGTCTTTAGCACTAGAAGACAGACCTGATGCTTTGCTGGGACAAAATATCTCTGAGATATCAAACCAAAGTGGAACAATACAGCAAGATAGTCTAAAGAATGATACTCCAGTTCTCTGTTCATGAGATCCCAGCAATGTGTGTAATCTTTGTATTTCTGTAGCTCAAGCTTGCATGCACTCTGATAGCATAACTCAGATGCCTTCAATGTCTGGAAAGAAGATAAATTAGCAATAACTATTGCTAATAGCCATTGCTAATATTAGCAATAACTATTGCTAATAGCCCTCGACGTGAAAGCAATCAAATGGTTAACTTGAGATTGAAACTTGCCTATGGAAAAAACAGCATTGTAGAAGAAAAGACTAGTAGTAGAAATGGACACTCAATAGATAAGTCATGTCAGATGATGTGAGGTAAAAAAACCCCACCCCTAAGCAGGGAGGGTTGCACTGTCCTTGCTGGACTTCCCTGTGGTTTGATTTCTAATCAAAGGAAATGGCCAAATAACATGTCAAACCTTGACCTCTAAAATGTTGGTTATTTTCTAAGGCACAAGGTTGATTTTGAAAACAATACTATCTGAATCCACAGCTGAAATACATTCTGAAAGAAAAAATTTACACTAGACTAATTTGTTTCATTCTTCTCAAAATATTACCTTGGTTAGTTCTCGTAATACTAAGATATCTGTTTTGTTCCCTCCATTCATAATTCTTTTTCTTTCTTCTGCAACATCCTCATCTTCATCAATAACAGGTGACATGGCAGTCTCCGCAAACCTGGAAAAACCCAAAAGGCTGATTGCAGAAACAACAAGTTGCCCTGGGTGCAGTCAGAATAACAGCGTGAAACAATGGCTGATCAATTGCCAAAAATGTGACTGGTGGAAGCAGTGGGAGTGAAACTTCACAATGGGACATTGGGTGGAGCATGCCTGCTGTTGGGAGAATCCCTGACCTTTGAAAGTTAATCTCTAAATACTAAAAAGGGATTAAATGGCTTGCTCAAAAGAGCATGCCTTGTCAGTCACTGATATGACATAAACCTGCCCCTCAGCCACAGCTTTTGCTATTTGGCTGCTCTTCAGTAGCTGATGACAGTCCTTCTACAGATCTTTTGAGTAGGCCTCCCTGTAAGACAGTATTTTCATAATTATACCAATTAGTACTCACTCGAACAGGAGTGAATGACCCACTCACACCTGGAAGGTAGCTGCTGTCATCGAGATAGAGGCACATTTGTAAAGCAGAGAGGGGACACTTGCATAGTGTCCAGGCTGCAACTGTCCTGTGCAATGGACTAGAATTCCTGTCTTGGGATGTCAGGCTAGTACCTCATGTTAGTGTTTATGACACTACAAACTTTCCAAGTCATTTTATAATCTCACTATTACAGTGTTTTAATCTAAAAAAAATTTACATTGAAGTCTTAATTCAGGAAAACTAATTTCTTTTAACAATATATTCTTTAATCCTGTTAAGATAATGCACATTTGTAAATGCTTTCTTGAACCAGGATATCAACAAATTAGGATGAAATCAGGTAAGTTAACAGAAAAAAAAAGCTGAAAAATTCAGAGGAAAAGAAAAAGGAGGGACATAGAGAATAACAAAGACATTAACCCTGTTAATAAAGGAACATTAATACAAGCTTTCAGACATACCATCTTGTGGAGAACAAATCGTGCTGCATAAGGAGATTCAGAATGAAGAATGCAACCCCTTGAACAGCCATGGCAACCAGGTTCTTTCCAACAAAGTCCCACTGAAAAGGATTGGAAACATGCTGCTCACCTTTGGAGAAAGAGCACCAGAAAGCAAGGTGAAATACTGCTGAAACAAAACACTGCTCCTCAGAACAGAAGGCATAATCATAATGGTTTAGGATGAAAATCTGTACTTTATTTGATCATGATCAGGCCTGGTCTGCATTTTCCGGTGTCTTATAAAGATTCCTAAGAAAATACACTCCAAGTTCAGCTGCTGCATGGGAGCAAAAATGAATATAAGCTCTCTGAATATGCACTGATTTGGATATTATAACATGAAATTTGCATGGGTTATGTGAAAGACATACATTTTCTGAATAAAAACAGATGAGTTCTGCTATATGATCATTCTTTTAATAAGAAGTTGTCTGATACCAAATACAGCCATATCCCAAGAGGATGCATTTGAAGAACAGCAGCCACTTCAAGCATTAACATGAGGGCTGCCGAACTATTAAAATGAAATGAAATAATATGTCCTACTGTAATGATCTAAGGACTTCAAAACAAATGATAAAAAGACACCAAAGACTGGCACTGAACAAATGGGTTCATTTCCAGTACAGACTACTTGTTGGGCCGTAGAGTTCTGGCAGCTGTATCAGAAGCTGTGATTCCTTCAGAGAGGTTAAACTTTCATACTCCTCATCCACCTGATGATGTGAAAGGGGAGAATTTCAGAAACAGCCACTAATTTTCCAAGATAATACTTCCAACCGTCTCATCCAAGGTCAGGACATGTGACACTGATATAACTCGTTGCTTATTGGCTCTTACTTACCAAACCTGGCATACACTTCAGTCACAGCTTGGTTCATGGCCAAGTCAATGAGTCCACGGCCCAGGCAAAAATGTGGGAAGACAATCAGCACATTTTTCAATGTTTTATTAAACTTCAGCAAAGACTATAAGAAACAGAAACAACATAATAAGCAGTTGAAACCAGACTTCTTTAAGAAAACATAGCAACATGAGTGAAAAGTTCTTTGTCATGTCAGAGAAACTGGATGTTCCGTGTTCTTACAACAGAGAAAACAGAGTATTTATCAAGTTACACCCAAAGCATCTGCAACCTAGAATGCAGCACAGCAGAATGCTGGCATACACTGCACCAGTCAAAGCGCTTGTGAAAAACTCTCAATGGGGAGAGAAATTAATCTTTGTAATGAAGTATTTCGCTATGTAGCAGAGTTAACATGTAATTCTGGTGTCAGCTATTATAAACAGCAACTGTGAGCAACAAGAAAGAGTGGTATTTTTCTGTCGTAACATCTTTATTTATCGAATCATAGAATCATTAAGGTTGGAAGAGACCTCCAAGATCATCGAGTCCAGCCGTCAACCCAACACCACCATGCCCACTAAACCATGTCCCTAAGCGCCACATCTACACGTCTTTCAAATACCTCCAGGGATGGGGACTCAACCACTTCCCTGGGCAGCCTGTTCCAATGTTTAACCACTCTTTCAGTAAAGAAATTTTTCCTCACATCCAATCTAAACCTCCCCTGGCTGGAATAGCTGGGGAATATTTCCATAATCAGGACTGCCACAATACTGGAAAGTACCAGTGTCTGGGCATAACTACACAGTAGACTTTGGTGCAATGTTGAGATACCCAAAACAGTGTAAGTGCCAGTAGCAGTCTAGCTGCATCAACACTGAATCCAGAGAAGGGCAATTTTCCCTCTGGAGACACAGTGTCTACAACAGAGACGTATTCTCAAAGATGATAACACTGGCCTGCTGCCGCACAGACTGAATGGCACTAGATTGAACCCTGCGCTATCAAGAAGCGTGGCTGAGAATGCAGGAACACCAGGGACAGAAAGTATTGTAATACTGGCCCTTGAAACCATGAGCTGAAACAAGATCTGTTTCTCCTTCCCAGCAAACAACAGTGCTCGATCAGCACATGGTGTTTGAAAATGGACTGTCAGTAATGATAGCTAATTGAATTGCTGTCAGATGTAGAAAGGGTGTCAATCTCAGTGGCCAAAGTATCAGCAGCTGTAGAGGTGGTAGCAGTAGTAGTGCATACAAGCCAACAGTGTTTTATAAACTGATCTCTTAGCCTTTCTAAGAACTAATTTTGGCACTCACTGTATTCTGTCTATTCTTGTACTTTCTGTCACCTTCTTGGTGGTGTTAAATAATTTCTGGGAAATTCTCAAAATGCTACTATAAGCAGAACGTCTCCTCTAACACAATGACTAGCAGGAGTAAGTGTCTTTCCTTACTTAGTGGTGACTCTATGATTTTCTACCATCTACCTCTTCCTGTACAACCCAAACTGCAGAAGCAAGCACAAAATGCCACGTCCCCTCCTCCCCAACTGTGAAAGTGTACAGAAGTTTGCTCATAGGGATGAAAAACACTCAATGTCATTCCTTGTGCGTATAGCCCAAGATATCAATTGCCCTGAGTCACTTCTCTGGGTTATTCTGCTCACCTGTCCCTGGAGTTACTCAGCAGAGTTCCCCACTCACTGCCAGAAAAAATGGCAAGGTAGAGAAAGACAGTTACTGTTAGAGATGGTTATGCTTGGACATCCTTTGCACAGCTCTTTAAAAAACGTTACTTACCGGGTTATTTTCAAATAACTCCAGGATGAATGTAATGGCACTGCTGTTGATCCCCACAAAGAGATTAATGCAAGACAATGCAACATAAGCAGTGCTAGGGACGCTGAAGAAAGAAGCAGCAGGGTACATCATGGGAATTACTGCCCATCTGCATGCAAAAGATAGAAAAACTATGATAACAGCTTCTCTGTATTCTCATGTCAGTTGGCCTAATGAAAACACAAAGTTGAGCTTTCTTCTCATCCCAAGTGTAATGAAATGGTGTAACCAGCCAGAGGTGCCGCTACGATATTCTTTCCCTGGTTACTAGATAAAAAGTTTTTTCTGCTTAGTCTTTTTTGCTGTTAAAATGCAGGGCAAAAGAAACTGCTAAAATTGAGAAAACTTAATGCTAGCAAAGTTACTATCACACCAGCTATCCTTGCACATCTCACTGGGTTGTACACCAGGAGGGAGAAACAAAGAAATGTTAGATAAAGCAAATACGATGTACTGCTTTGCTAGATACTCCTCAGCCTTTGGAACTGTCCAAAGAAATCAGAAACTCTGTAAATTTTTATATTCCTTTCTAACTCCTCTACCATTGTTTTTTCACTCCTGATTTGGAGCTTCCCGTGCCATGATTTCTGGGACATAGCAAATGCACATGGAGCAGCACAAGAGGAGTATTCCTCTGGAATAAACTTGCAATGCTTAGCAACAATCAGTCTGACTAGGAAGAATTCAGTAACAACAACCTGAATTGCTTAACAGGACAATACACACGTGGTCAGAAAGACTCATCCTAAGTTTCCCATTGTGACTGCAGCTGGACACAAGGGCTAATATATGACTCTATGAATTTACCTTCCTTTCTGTTTTTTATTTTGAGTAGCAAATTATGAAATTATTATTGAAGTGACTGCCATGTGATTTTATTTTTTCTGAAAATTTCATCTTGGTAGATGCTTTAAAATATGCAAAGGCATTTTAAACGTCCATCCACACAGCCATGAATTACTGTATTTTAAAAAATATATAGAGCCACAGACAACTTATTAAAGATACCACTATTGCACTTCAAAAAGGTATAATGAAAAATTAAAACAAATGAACATTCTGATAGGATTTTTTAACATTGGGTATTTTACAGAGATTAAATTATGATAATGCTTTCCATTTTCTCAGGATTTTCATGCAAAGAACACAAAAACTTCAGAAAATTAAAGGTAGTCTGCCCAGAAAAGAACTGTTCCCTCTTAGGCTTAACATGTGAAAAGTTTAATTTATTTCTTTAACTCTAGAAATAGATCTGATCAATCATTTTGCCTAGGTTACATCAGCTACAGGGCTATCAGGAATATGATTTTATAGATAAAAATACATGATTACTAATTAAATGAGAGAAAGTGAATTTCAGTCAGCCTTATAAAATGCTATTTTGCCAACACAAATGCTCATCTGAAGTTAAAAAAACCAGTGTTGAAGACTCAGTACTCTTTGCCCTTGGGTTAAATACTGAAAGTATTTTAGTATTGGCTGTTAGTGAGGCAAATAAACAACCACTAAATTCCTACACAATGTACATAACAGAAAGCAGCAAACCGAACAAATATATTTTCCTGTAAGAATCACATTTAATGCTTAAAAGTGTAAGGCAGTGACAAAAAAAATCTCCTTTACAGCATGTGGCCAGACAGAGTGTGTAAATATCCTGGAGCAGGGACAGAATCCAGTTCTAACCTGTATTGTACCCACTCAGTTTTATTCTTTAAAGCTGGATTTCACTAAGTACCAAGCTCAATAACATGAAATCATTTCCTTGTGAAATACAGGGCCCCACATGCAGGAACAACCTTGAAGACTCACCCATACAGAAGCAGCAAGGCAACAAGCACAGGGAAATTAGTCGGAGAAGTGTATGCTTTCTTGTTGAATCCAGCGAATATAACCACAACCATTCCAGCACTCAGTGCATAATTCACCTGCCATATCACAGGGTGAAGATCAGTGTGTAAGACCTGAGAAGGTCTGCAAACATATCCAGATCCTACACATTATTCCAAAAGGCTTTTGTACTGAGGAACACCGGAATTTATGAGCTAGACTAGTCACACTCAAGCTTTTGGATCAATGGGTAGCATTGGCAGCACTTGACATTTTTCCGAGACATCTTTTATCAGACTGTTCATCAAAAATACAACATACATTGTTGTTTCTTAGATTATGGTTTGGGAGCCAATTATTTCATGGTCCTGCTGGCAGGCTGCCCACAGAAAGAGACTGTGGGTATGCAAAGGAAGTGCAGTTTCTGGTGATGCAAAGGCTGTGTAGGAGGGGAAAAAGCTAGTTACTTGAGCCACATTCCTGGGAGGAGGCTAAAGTGAATATGCTTGGCCACTGCTCTCCTCAATTTCTCTGTTCAGTGTTAGTAGCGCTAGTCTACTGCAATGCACAGAGCTCCCCATGCAGAATGGAAGGTGGCGTTTCACAGAACTGCTAACACCAATTAATACCTTTGCATCATGCTGTCAAGGGCCATGGCCAAGCAGAATTCCTGTTAAGGAAGCTGCTGGGAGGCTGCAGTGACCAGCAGGGGACAGGAACTCAGAGACCTGCTTCTTTTCCCTCATTTACTAAATTAATGCTTTGCTTTACCTTCTCCTGAAAGAGCACCTTCCAAAGCCCGAAAGAGTTTTGGGCTTTTCAATTATTTCAATTTTTTTTCTTTTTAATTTTTTCAATTCCATGTTCATGCTTTTCTTATTGCATAAGCCCTTGGCCTTATTCTCTTTTGAGAATGCATGGCTAGAAAACCATCCCCTTGCTGTGCCTCAACCAGGCAAAGAATTTGCCTCTTTGTGACAAAGTGGCCTGAGGGGTATTGGGAGGGTAGCTGAGCCCTGTCTAAGCAAGCCTGAGCCTGTGGTCTAAATCCTTTTAGAACAACACAGTGAATGTGATTCAGTGACCTAAACAAATACATCTATGTAATTTTAGACACCCTACAGTATTTTGCTTGACCTCCTGCTACGGTTCCAGCAGCCTGTGAATCTCCCACCTAAATTTCTTGAATATCTTGAAACACGTTATGGTTCTTCTAGAGGGCAGAAGTGACTACCGTCAGGCAACTGGGCTTTCCCCTGCTATGGTAAGTTGTACTTTATTATACATTCAGTTGTAAGCACTGGAAACCCTAAGATTACAACAATTTCAGCTTCATTAGTTGAATAATGAGCTGTGCACCTGACTTGATTTCTACATCTGTAATTAGTTAGGAGGTCAAATCCTTAAAGAAATGAATGCTTTGCAACGCTCAGAATCACCCTCGCTCAATTCACAGATCAGTCCCCAGTTCATGCAAACCCAGGAATAATTGCAGGCTATGAAATCAGATCAGCAGTTACTCACTATGTCCCACATGAAGTTAGTTAACCAGTAGATTGTAGGGCTCACACCACTGACAAACTGTAGATGCTTGGCTTTTGTTACACGTTCTTGAATCAGGTATAAAACAAAACTAGCTGGTATAAAGGACATGGCAAAAATCACACAGATGGCCACAACAGCATCCACTGAAGTGGTCAGCCTAAAATAGAACACAAGAAGGGACTGTGAGCAAGGGAATGGACGCAACACAACACTGTATTAGCATTTGGGGAATCTGGAGGGAATTTTAAGATCTAGAAGGAGCAAGGTTATTTTGTAAGTAGAAGACTTTTCCAATTTCAAAATGTGCTAGTGTATTTTCCCAAGATGTGTTGGGGACTGCAGCTAACAAATATGGATATTAGTGGCACCATTCCCTGATTTTTTACTTGCCTTCATTCTCTGGAACAGTTCAACTCCTATATATATCTCAGTTTGACAGCCTTTCCTGTATGGTGTGTCTCAAACTAGACATGAAGGCACAATAGTCAAAGTGCTCTGGGAGCTGGGAAAAGAGGGACTCAAGGAGGCAAGTTGCAGACAGTGAGATGAAGCACAGATCTTCCCTCTGTGCTAAGGCAGAAGTTTTCAGTTTCACTGACTTCTGAACTGAATAGGAGACATGAGTGGAAAGTCCTGTCTTCTTAGGGGTGTCTTTTTCCAGAAATTATGGCTTGTAGATTCTGGAATGCCATTGAAGATCTACCTCTGTGCTGTCCTTGGCACCAAGACGGAAGCTGTTGCCTACCTGTAGTCAATTAAGGACAATTTCTGATTCCTTTTTTGATTATGATCTCTCTGTTATTTCACAAGTAGATCTACTGGTTTTGGAGCATGAACAAAGACTTCGGAATCTTCGTGCTTGGGAATCAACAGAAACATGTAATCATGTGTAACCAATGGTCATAGCTCCTACATGGGATGGGAATGAACTCTTATAGGAATACAATGAGACAGAAAAGAATAGATTGTATATCTAATTCTTGATTAGAATAAAACTTCAGGGAAAGGCCTCCACATTCTGTCAATTGAACTATTTCTCCTCAGAGTGTGAGTATGCTGGAGGTGGTAAGCTGCCAGGAGAGGGAGGGGTAAAAACCAGCAGCAGAGCACAGGCAGACTTACACAGTGACTTCAGAGAGTTGCTCCTTAGTGAGGTTCAGAGGATGGTTTACAGCAGTGATCCCATATTCCTCAGGGGCTTGGCCAGTCCGCAAGTTAGCTCTAAGGATTGCATTATTGGCTACATTAAGGAAACTAACCATAGCATGCCAGCCTTTATTGTTAAACCACACCTAAAAGAGTCAGAAAGCACAGATTCATTTAAGAAGCCTTCGCTAATAACCCTGAGCTGCAGGAGAAAACTTGGCTGCCTTTCATCTACTTTGGTGGGCATTGTCAGCAGGGAAGAATCCAGCACCAGGAATTCATAGCTCCTAGGCACAGTCCAGCAGGAGGAGCTCACATACTATGCTTTTAAAAGGGTTGGACAACCACTGTCAAAGGATTTTATAGAAGCACATTTTAAAATTTAGCAGAACGTGCCCTACTCGGAAGTATTTAGGACAGCAAAAAGTATTAAGAACATGGTTAAAAAAAATCACATTCGAAATAACTTTGCATTAACACTGTATCCCATATTACTTATAATAAGTATAGTATTTCAGCTCTTCTTGCATCTGAGAATGCCACTAGCAATATTCTCACAATGTGAAGTCTATGTCAAGAAAGACTGAGTTAGCAGACTACTTCCAGCAAATACCTTAATATTATCTTCAGTTTCCATGTATTTAAGGAAATTGGAAATTTCTTTGGCAGCAGCCAGTGAAGCTTGTCCCTAAAATAAAAAAGAAAAAGCTAAAGGTCAGCTGTCTGGGTGAAATTCGGTGCTGCAGATTTTCAGCTTTGTAACAAATTCTTTAGTAAAGGGACAAAAAACCCATAAAAATCTTGCTTACTCCTGTCACATTCATCATTCGGCCAAGATCACTTAAAAAATTGACAACTTGATCTCCAGAAACATGAAGGACTGGGAGCCTTCCTCCTATAGAAATTCCTCCATATCTACAAAGAGAACAGTATCGTCAGTCACTTGTATCACAGACCCAAAACTCTGTACATTGATGGAAATACTAAAAATCCACTTAATGTAAGGTTGATTTCTATACATCATATAATTCATGTATAATGATCTCCACTCTTTTTCTAACAAGTTGTATTAGGTCTTTATAGGTCTTACAAATAATAGAAGTTCTATCAGTTTCTGAGGGGTTCATGCCAGGATCCTGAGAAAATTATTATTTAGATATAAGATTTGGAGAAAACAGTTATTTCTACAGTGCAAAATCTTTAAATCAAGATAATTGACATATAACTGTTTGGACAGCATGGAGGACTGAGGACAGCATGGACCGCGGTTAAAATTTCAGTTGCCCTGAGAGGAGCAGGTATTCACCAATGCTGGTGCCAGCCAATACTCCATAATGATAAATACTATTGCATGAGATGAACCAAAGTCTAATCCCATAGCAAGTAATGTTTGCACAGGAACAAGCAGATGTTCCGTGAAGGAAGCCAGTCATCCAGCTGCTACCTTTGAAGTGAGTTCCTGCTGCTGCTGAAAAACTAAATGAGTATGTTCTTCAGGCTAATCAGTCATCTTTCTAAGCTTAGTATCTGCAGTGTGGACATCACACTGGGGTTAGCTGATGCCTCTATGTAAGCGTGAAGCACTAGTGGAATCTGTTTTATAACTACTGCACATGTTCAGAGCGGGGATGAGGAGTTGCGGTTGTTACTTCTGTATTTGATAAGCTGGTGTCTAGGTTTCATCTTACCCAGGTCCTTTTTTTGGAGGGTTCATATTTTTCTGCTGCACTTTGAAAGAGCTACATCAGAGCACTATTGCAATGTAGTGCAATATTGTATTGTAACTTTCCATCACTCAGCTCCCATTAGTCTGACTCTTGTAGATAATAAAACTGATAGTTCCATTGTGTGCCTCTGGCCTTCATCCTTGTGGGAGTAGTCCAAACAAATATAACCCCTTGTCTTTATAAAACCCTTGCTGACCCCCAACCTATTTCCCACTGAAGCCATCTCTTTGTTCTATATTATCTGCCACAATTCCCCTTGTCCATTCAGAGAAACATTGTGAGGCTCCATAGTTAAACAGAAATTCATTGTTCCTTTATTTACCACCATAATCTGTGAATTGGTTTCTTACCTTTGCTCATTGACCCAGTATTTGCTCTTCAAGCTGAAACAGAAAGAGAATCCTGTCTCTTAACGCACTGAACCAAAGTCAATGGTATTGTTAGGCTTAAATGGAAATTAAAGGTGAATTCCTATGCTTTACAGATCTCCAGTTTCCTCTAGACAGCTTTTTTTTTTGTTTATTTGTTTTTGTTTTATTTGCTTTCATTTTTAATTGCTGCTGATTACTTTGAGTTGTGGGGTTGCCAGGACTTTTGATATTCCCTGCAGTGGGTTTTTGGTTTTTTGTTTTGTTTTCTGACATGATTCATTTCCACCTCATACAGAGATAAGCAAGATTTCTAAAGTGACACATACTGGCTCTATCCTAAGTCCATAATGAATTGATTTGAAAAGATGTATCTAAAGCAATTATGACAGTCAAAGGCAGCCAGCACATAGCTAATATAATGGGAATTTCAAGAACTCTGCTGGGAATTGAAAAGGTAGCAAGGCCTGAATCAGAAATAATAGGCCATGGACACTGCACAGCTAATTACCATGCACGACACTCACGCAAGCTGAGGAGCTATCAGTAGGATAGATGTATCTATGTAACATTGTCCTTTAGCACTTCTGGGAAGCAAGTGGTGATTAACTCAGGCAGATGGTCATGCTGGTGTGAAAACGGTTCTTCAGGGACACAAACTAGTATCTCTGCAAGGCAGTTCACCATGCTGCGCAGAGGCACAAGTTTTCTCACCACTGACACAGTTACCATTAACATGGCATTCCATCAACACTGAAACTTAGCTCTGCCTATAAAGGAGTACCCAATTATACAAATAGGTATAATTAAAACAATTAAACTCCCCTAAAACGAGCATCTCCTGTTCTTACATCACGAATACGGACATGATGCTCAAGTCTACACCACATCAGGTGCTATGTTGTTATTAAATGAGAATTTCATGGCCAGGTACAAAATATCGCATGTGAAAAACAAAGAGAGATTCACCCCTACCTCCCTTTTATCAAAGTGGGATATGTTTTCACCAGAAAATCTGAAATATTTCTGTGGGTCAGATCTTGAAGAATTTCTGTGCTGTGCTGCACTCTCTGGAAAGAAAAGAAAACATAATCAATCACAGTAAACTCTACAGTCTCTAAAGCTATTAAGTAAGTGTTTGTCAGGAAAACAGCAAAAGTACCTTTGGTTCAGAGGAATTGCTCAGGTTCAGAGTATCACCGAAATGAGAGTGGGCGTGCGGGTTTTGGCTGGGATAGTTAATTTTCTTCACAGCAGCTGCTATGGGGCTGTGGTTTGGATTTGTGCTGGAAACAGTGTTGATAACACAGG